ATTGTGTCTTTATATCGCCAGGGACGCGAGCACCATGCTAGTTACAAATGTTGTATGAAGGAAATGAACCAATCACACGACACGGTGAAAGTGTGGATCTTATTCTGAGACTCAAGTATAAGAAGCTAATGAATGTGTTGCGTACACTAGAGGTACAGAGAGTGTCTCCAGCTGTTGAAATATCATGTCAAATATTTAAGTAAACAAATAAAACATGATCAAATCAACACTTAACTCCATTTGTGTAAACAGATTGATGGAATTACCACATTAAGAGGACTATTACTGTAGTTGTAATGTTACTTTAAGTGCTGTTTTTAAGACAGTACTGAACAGAAGGTTATGAATGTTGGGCTCCTTCCTCACCGGGGAGCTCTTGCCCACAGAGTTGTCGAGGTACAGATATCCTCCGATGATGTTCAGCTGCACTCGGAGCAGAACCACCAGCATGCAGGTGCTGTAAACCCCCACTATGGTGCGCGTGAAACCTGCACAACATCAAATGTTAGATTCTGAAAAAGCCCCAAAACATGTGAGACATTACACAGCGATTATAATGTTTAGTAATGTCTGATGGGAGGGAAATCACTTACTGAGGATCTTTAAATCTTCCCAGATCTCCAGCTTATTGGCTGGTCTGTGAGACGAAGCGGAAAAACAAAATTAGAGTTTGTTTTTTAATCATCAAGACTGTGAGTGTGTCATATGTCTCTGCAAACAGTAATGTAACACCTGAGCGTGGACTCTTAGTACACAAATCTATAAATATAGAAACAACATATAATGTCTTAGCATTAGCAAAGTATTTTCCCCGTAGAATCAAAACATATATACGAATGTGTAAAACTATCTTCTTTGACTATTTTACAGTAAAAAGCACTTATACCCACTTCTCCTTGAGTAGTGCAGTGAGGCTTTCTGAATTCAGCTGATTGGTGATGGCTTCTTTCAGAGGAGGGAGCATGGACAGCACTGCAACACACACACACCGTACAAAGAGTCAAATCAAACACGTGGAAAGCAAACATGAAATCCTTATTTGTTCGTGTCTTTTTAAGGAAATGTATGAAGTCTCACCGGTCATGTTGCATGTCCTCTGGTTGCTCTCAAAGTGAAACTGTCTTCTGGCCTGAGAGATGTAATCCGACGCCTCCTTCTCCTGCATGTTACTGAGCTTCTTCTGAGCATACTTACCAAGGAAGTACACTCCTGGAGGACAGCAACAAACATAAAAAAAGTGTAAATAACTGATAATAAACACAGAAAATAACCCCTTTGTTCTATTCAAACTGCATGTAGGACCACCAGCATTTCATATTGAGTAGATGCCAAATAGATAGATAGATAGTAAAATGAGCAACACATCTTATGAGTCTTTATTAATCTCTTTTTTTATTGAAGCCTTGAAAGCAAACTTAACTATTTCACTGCATTCATCAACCAATGAATAATGTCATCATGTAATATTCTTTAAGTCTTACCCAAACCCTATTAATATGAATGAAATCAACACACTTTCAATGACTTCCCATGCTTACTTAAAGCTACAAATATTATTACAATATTACAAGCAGTTCAATAGCTATCACTAATTACTACATAGTTATTAGCAAGTCACTGTTTAGCATTTTAGCTATCCAATGTTCACTTGTCATGCTTCACACTCACCTAGCTTTAAAGAGCTTAGCTACAAGTCAATATGCTAACATTGCATTGCACTCACACCAGACTCCATTCAACTTGTAAGTAATTTAAGGATTGTTCGCTCTTGCAAAACCTAAAATAACTTTAAAACAAAAAGATTTAAATACTTTTAACGTGGTATACAAGCAGCAACCTACACAATGTGTATTTCAATTAATGTAGCTTTTGTCTTTTGGTCTTACAACAGTTCTTGAAGTAACATTGAAACTGATTATGTGTCTGATAATAACAGTAATTGTCATCTTAATGTGGGAAATTGTGGTAATTCATGTATGCCGAATAGCAAATACATGCTACTCAATTCTTAAAAATACTTGAAACATATTTTTAAAGCGTTAGTTAATTCAATAAGTGAAATAAATATCACACATCAACATTTTCCAGTGCAGTGCAGCATGTTGCTAAAGCTAAGAGCTAGCTCAGATGCTAACATTACCTCCAACTAAAGCTCCGGTGAAAATAAACTTCCTTTTGTGGCGTTTTACAAAGTTCCAGACAGATGAAAACATCCTCAGGCTGTGAGATGTTCAGAAACTTCAACTCCAGAAACACTTTGTGCTGATTAGTTTACTGACATTGTATCTGAGGACTTACAGGCTAGTTAGCAACTTCTAGCTAACATGCTAACTGTCAAAAGAGCCAAAGTTCGTCAGTGAAGCTAAATGGAACCCAGAGGACAACTTCCGGTTATTGATTTCAAAATACGACACGAATGACATAAGTAATACTTAAATACAGGAATGCATACATACAGGAATAAATACAGGAATACAAAAATATAAGAATAAATAAATGTGAACAAAAAACCGAAAAAAACTAATGTGGAAATAAATACAGGAATAAATAAATGAAAGTTGAAAATAAAACAGAACACACATTATATATCTTTATTGTATTTCTACATTTATTTCCACTTACATTTATATATTTATTCATTTACGTGTCTGTGTAAACTATACATCTTCATATCGTCTCTCGATTTAATACACTTTATTTGTTTAAACCTGTTTCTATTGGTCGGATCTAGATCACGTGACCCAACTGCTGTTTTGACGGAAAGGAAATGTCAAAACTTTTCCTGTTTACTGTCGTTTGAATCTCTATTTTTGAGGCGTGTTATTGGATATCTTTCTCCAGAAATGTCTCCTTAACACACTGCCCGTTTATTCAGTGTATTAATGAGGATTTTGGAGTATGTGTGTCATATTCTGGTTTACATTCATCCTACTACAGTCAGCTTGACTCATCGAACGCATCCGCTTGAACGTTGTGGAGTTCGATCGATTGCTCATGTCTTGAACTGGTCCGTCTAATATTATCATCCCCCGCGTGTAAACTACAGCGGAGGAAGTCGTTACTAAAGAGCGAAGAAAATAAGCTACGAACATCCTTATCATCATCTAAAGTATGATTGTATTTAAGTAGAGTTAAGTAGCAGTCACCATGGGAACAGAGGAGAGTTTCTATCCGAGTGAAGAGGAGATTGAGAAATGGATGTCCAGCGCATTTGATATGGTGATTAAAACATTTCAGCCAAGTATCGTCAATTTAGAGTTGTTTTTGAAGATTTCTGGTTACAACTGTTGTTTTCATTAACGTTTTTAGACATAATACATTCAGGGTGTAACAGGAATGTCTTGCCACCTATTATTAGCTTGGTGCTGATTTTCAGGAGTTCTGCAGGATGGTTTAATGACTATAATACACGTTAAGCTGTCCTTAAATATCCACTAAACAAGTATAACAAATGATTAAAAAATATATATAAACAGGAAATCATAATTTTACCTGACAGATGATAAATACAAATATAATTAATTAACGAAAAGTTCCATATTTGTCCTTGTTGAAACACTTTTAAGACAAAACTATTATCTTTAAAGTAGAAAATTAATATTAACAACATGCACAGTGCAAAAACTGACTCTTTTAAAATTGCAAAAATCACAGAAAGAAAACAATAACAACATATAAGAAGAAACAAGATGATAAATTGAAGCAGTAAATAAATCATTGATACTTGTTGCAGCCCTCATCTTTATTAATAAGTGTCAGTGACTGTACCCTGTCTGAATTCCTCTTCTTCTGTGTACTATATTTCTGTGTAACACTCTCTGATTGTCCTCAGTACTTGCTGCATGTTGACCTGCTGTGAATGTGTCTTCAGGCGAGAGAGGCTCTGCAGAACGGAGAGGTGCCGGTCGGATGTCTGCTCGTCTACAACCATGAAGTGGTGGGAAAAGGGAGGAACGAAGTCAACGAGACCAAAAATGTGAGAAAACGTTTTTCCTGTTTCCTGTTTTTTTATGCAGAAATCTGTGAGTTTACCTAACATGCAAACCAGCATGGATTCAAATATCTATGTTTTGTCTTGTCAGTAAGACGTAAAAACCAAAGCAACAACTTTAATAATTGGATAGTTTGTGGCAATGCTACTGTATTTATATTCCCCATTACTCAATGTGCTTTACATTCCAATTGCACAGGCAGAATATCTAATATCTTGCATTTCTCATGACCATTACATGTTAAAGTTCCACTATTTATAAATAGACATGTTATCATGCAAATACACCGAGTTCCCCTATTAAAAAATATTTAAAGGAGGAGTTCGGCATTTATACGGCCAAACAACGTACATCTCCCCTCTGTGGGACTAATAAAGGGATTCTGATTTGTGTGTGTGTGTGTGTGTGTGTGTGTGTGTGTGTGTGTGTGTGTGTGTGTGTGTGTGTGTGTGTGTGTGTGTGTGTGTGTGTGTGTGTGTGTGTGTGTGTGTGTGAGGGCGCACTAGCC